GGCTCCCCTGCCGTTCCACAAGTGACCCGTTGGTTCAGCCCTACTCAATCGACGTATTGGCTCTTACTCAAACTGCCAGATGATGCATGGACAGCATGCCGCCCATTCTGAATCATTGTGATTCACTAGCCTATTACCGTGGGGCTCGTCTACCTCTCCCCGACTTGTACCAAGACCTTCTGCTCTCCCCACTTTTCTTTCCACCCCATTGCTGAATAAACGGCTGGGAGACTGCATGATCTGTTTTTTATTTTATTTTCTTCTTGATCCTTATTTACCCAACTCTGCCACCTGGGTCAATCTTGCTGCAGATCTTCTTGTTTCTAATCCAGTACGGAACGCCTGGATATCCTCGATAGCACTGCCTCGTCGAGAATTCTTTATATACATATCAAGTGGTCCGCAATTCAGGTTGTCCCTGGATGCAAGCCACATTCAAATCGTCCCTCGTTCCCTGAAGCTTATAAGTCCCGCTCTCGTCATCTCAATTGCTCTTTGCAGTTCAGTCAATCTATTTCAGTGGGTTGAACATTGAACTACACACCAAGGCTGATTGCCCAATTGTGAACTTCTCGGCAATAGAGCCCTCGGCTCTCTAAACCCGCCTGAAACCTTGCAGGGTAATACTTAAAACCAGCTCTCGAATCACACTGCAAAGGAAGAAAAAAAAGACAAAGGGTCTACTATGAAAACGCAATACTCCCCCTCGAACGCTCTGCTTGATTTTGACCGAGAGACGGATCCTCTGTCTGTTTTTTCGGAAAAGATTCCTTTTGCCAACGAGATGGTACTATATTCGACATCTGGGATGTCTCCTAAACGAAACGCCGATTGGGACACCAAAGATATGAGAGCCCCCGTCCCTGGCAGCTCTGGGTGCAGCTCGCTGGACCCCTCCATGGTCGGTCTTACAGGGATTCCTGTCAGCTCATCAAGCGGTCATCCCCATTCGACTTGCGTCAACCCACATGCGGGCTATGCTACCGCCCACCCGGATTCTGTAACCTTCTTAGCCCCCAAAAATTATTTATCAAACCCACAAGAATCCACAAATGAGCACATGGGCTCTTTATACAGCTGGTCTAGTACGTCCAACGCAGAAGAATTAAAACCATCTTCCTCCGCCGACTCTGGCGTCTGCTCTGCCTCAACCTCGCCCTTTATGCAATCCTTCTACAATTTCGGGACCGCCACACAGCCAGCGGCGCACCCAGATATGACAGAAACAAATGGCTACACCCCGCAACAGATCAATAAATGGTGCATGGAGAGTGATCCCACCGGTAGCAGTTTCTATCAACCTACAGCCTCGTACCCAGCCATCAGCCCACTTGCATTTCCACCAGCAGAAATGCCATCAAATGTCTACCCAACACTGAACCAGAATATGAACACCGCTGCAGAACAGTGGTTCCCCATGCCGGCATTTGCCAGCCCACCATCCCCTCACAGCAATGCAATTCCAATCCCAATTCCAGCACAGGATAACAGCTTCCTCTCACCATCCGCTACAGCCCTCTCACTCGACTCCTCCTCTGTCATCAGTACCTCTCCCGCCCCCACTCTCTCCGACTTCGAATCAAAGTCATCCTCGCCCCCGTTTAACCCCGCCGATCTGACACGTTACGGTATCCCAGCTGGCGATGGGGTCTGGCGCTGCGCCCACCCGGGATGCACATCACAAGCATTGTTTCGTCGAGGGTGTGATCTGCGTAAGCACTTCAATCGACACCGCAAACATCTCTTTTGTCGACATGAGGGTTGTCCTCAATCTAAGCAAGGCGGATTCTCAAGCAAGAAAGACCGTGCGCGCCATGAGGCTAAACATAACCCCGGAATCGTCTGTGAATGGGATGGATGTGGACGTGTGTTTAGTCGGGTGGACAATATGAAAGATCATGTGCGACGAATTCATCGACGGGGTGGAAGCCGTTGAGTCTCGATTGGAGATGATTGGATATCTATCTGATGGTATTACGACGACGACGATGATGATGCTTTGAAGGGTTTATTTTTACTGTCTCTTGTTCCTCTTCTCTTCTCTTTTTGTGTTCTTGATCATCTCGTCATATTTGCGCTTTTCTTTTTCTTTTTGGGAATGTATAACTACAAACTGGATAGCAGGCTAGGGTGAACAGGCGAATTTGGATTAGACTTTTGGAAAAACATACATTCTCCCAGGCCATCAAAACAGGCAGGACAAGGGGAATTGGGGTCACACAGGAATCATTTCGATTATTTTAAACTTTCAGGACACGTGGATCAATGCAAAACGAACATGAATATGAATATGAATATAACGAAAAATAATGATCAATCATATCAGAGCCAGAGTAACACTGTATACTAATTACGTCTTGGAAATACCGGCGATCATAGCGAGTCAGCCTTATCGTAACAGTCTCAGATTCATAAATGCTCCCTGCATGCTAGGCGAACCTGGTAAAAATAGCATCTCTCTAAAGAGCTCCCCCTTCCCTATTACCGCGCCGACGCGGAGTTCGAACATGTCAGTTCCTGTATGCATGTACTCCTGGTCGGAATTCCGAGCTCAAAGTCCGATTTCGAATTCATCACACAACAAGCATTCCCGGACACCGCCTCACACTATTTTTAAACAGAGTCAATCAATGGAATGAATGACCTGCCACAACCCTTGGGGTCCGAATTTCTGCGACTGTAACGAAAATGCTTCTATTGAGACAAAAAGCTAAATATACCATACTACAGCAAGAGAGAAGGGCAAGGGCGGATCTCGAATTCACCCCCTCCCGGGGCCAACTTGAATCTTAACACATGACCAATATCCTAGAAAAGACTCGGAACTTGAACTTGAATATTTACTCCAGCATATACGCTCCGTAGTCCATTCCCTTCTTGGCCTATTCCCACACCGTATGGATTAATGCGTATGCGCATAGCGACTATGGATCGGACGCGCTTTTACGCAGGGTTCATCCGACCGAGATCCTCCCCGCAGCGATGATCTGCGCCAAGAGTCGCCCAGTAGCGCCCGATTAAGTCAAAAGAGTCGGTATGTAGTGGCTGAGTCTGAGCCTGAGCCTGAGCCTGAGCCTTTTTCGGATCGGGTGAGAGGGGGTCGGGTGGGGTGGGTTTGATTGGGATTAACGTGTCGTATCCCTGTGCTTACATAGTACGACTACAACTACGGAGTAAACTAATTCAAACCTATCATGCCTCGACTTATCTTCGGGTCGGAGATAGGTACATACGACCTGGCAAATGCCAGCTACCATATGGACCATGGTATCCGTACCAGCTCGGCAAATCCAACGAATTCGTCACCCGGTTTGGGTAGTACCTAGTAGGTCTAGATTGTACACCCGTGTCTAAGCTTGCTTATGCTCTCCAGTGTCTGATACCATTTCCCTCAATCAGGCAGGTGTCCTTGCGGCTTTTTGGGGGCTGATTTGAGTGCTGCGGGGATCGGCCGTCTTTTCTTCCAGAGTTGGTAGGGGGTCAGAGTGAGGAGTACTAACTAACTACTACTATTAGGGCTAGTCTTCCGCCAACTACAGAATTCCATATGATATTTGATTGTGAGATAATTTCCGCCGACGGAATTCCTCTCAACTTGACCAAGTCAAGTTTAGCGAAGTGGATACAAACTGGGTCTGAACAACTTTATCTGTGGGGGCCGAAGAGCTGGCTGGTTTTTGGGTACGAGATCTCTTGGCCTACTCTTTTCGGTGCCTTGTTTTGGTACTAGTAGTATATACGTCAGTGTGCTGAGCCAATATTCCTTACAATCTTGTTGGAGAGAAATTGAAATTGACGTTGCCTACGAAGTATGGAGTACCGTGACTGTTTGTCGACACGAAATATTTGAAGCAGGGAACTCCCTTGTCCTGTTGCCTTGCCCTGCCCTGCCCTGTCCTGTGCTGCCCTGCTTATGCACTATTTGCCACTAAATCTCTCTCTCCCTTTCCCTTCGTTGCACCATCCACTCAACCCCTGTGTACAACTTGACCCAGTTTCATATTGGGGCTCTGCCCGCCACATGGCATTTCACCATGTGGCCATGATCGCTGACCAGGATTCGGACATCTTAGTCACTGCTTTAATCTTCGCCTGTATGGTTTAGGCCCAGGTATCGCAAGACGTTTCTTACTCGGTATTACCCCGAGACAAGTCAGTAGACTGGGATAAACCTAGGCCGAATTTCTGGAAATGTCTGGATGAAGTTGAGCATTACGCATTTGCATGGTGGCTGTGTGGAGTTTGCTATTCTAATCGACCGCAACGATCTGCGATATTCCCGAACTGGATAATCTTTCCAAGGTTCTTTTATGGCGTTTGCGGCTCTGTTCATGAGATCGACTGCCGGATGGTACCCAAGTGCGGGAGCGCTGATGGTGATCTTTCTATCTTGCCTTGCAATATGCTACACTACCTAGGTAGGTGGTATGGTCTCGCCCTACCCTACCCTTGGGATCTACCACAGGAGAAACAATCGATGAAAAGTGTTTAGAAAAGAACCGTAAGTACCCCGAATCAAAACTCCTTGTTGGTGCTAGCCACAATTGAATAGACCAAATGATTCAAAACAACCAGAGAAACCAACACCGAATCCTTGGAATCAAAATCAGAATCAAAAAATAATGATAAAGGAGACAAACGAATGGACCATTTTGGAGAAGAAACGCTGTCGAGTGGATAATAGTGACGAGGAATAAAAAACAATAACAAAACGAATGGCCCGTGTATCATCATGCTTCTAACAGAGTGACATGTGGTATGGTATCATCGAAGGAACAGAGCTGGAAGAAAGGTATCACAGATGGAAATTCGTCACGCGTAACTTAGGATGGGGAGTATATGCCGTCAATGGCGGGTAGACCCACACCATGACTTGCTGCATGGTGGGTGGGTATCGTATATAGATAGCACCGCTCGTTGAGACGAAGGGAAGACATCAATTATATGATGCCTCGTGGGTTATCCCGAATTCATTCTCCGCCGTCGCCCTCGTGAACTACCTATCGGGCGCTGTGCGAGGACTTGCCGGAGGATAGGGTCGTCTTTATTTTTATCGACGTGGTGAACACGGACATGTCTAAAATGGTGTTAGATTGAATTGGTGATACCAGTTGGAAGAGCCACTTGCCGTTGAAGATTGTCTGGGCGGGGATATTTGTGCTGTTGATCGGGACAGAATGGACAGACGTAGCCTGGTGAGTTGTGTACCAGACCGTGTCGCATCATCTCATTCTTGCGCTTGAAGCCTTTCCCGCCGAGACCACGAGGGCACCCATCAACAGGACAGAAATGTGGCCGGTCTTGCGAGTGAACATTGGCATGGGAACTGGTGATTTTGATGTTAGATCTGTAAGTTTTCAACCTCTGGGTGGTGGGAGCTCACTTGAGGAGGTACTGCGTCTGGAAAGGTGCCGCCGTGCAACCAGGATGTGTGCACTTGTAGCTACCCGGCACTGTGAGCCCATTGGGTGGTTGCGGTGCAGCATTAAATGCAGCTCGCTCACCAGCTGGGGGAGTTGGGGCAATTTGCTCAGTCGGTGTTGGGTAGCTCGTTGCTGGACTCTTCGCTGTCATAGGAGACATATCGTATGGAGTAGGCGCATGGTGTGGGGTCTCCGCAGGTTGTGATGGTGGAGGAGGAGGTGGTGGGGGTGGGGGTGCTGGTAGTGGAGGTCTCCAATATGACGATGTCGCCGGCGACGGATTGTTCGATGCGTCCTTGGCACTCACGGGGGAAAAGTGTGAATATGGCGTGGGCATCTGAGATGGCGGGAAAAATTGCCTTGTCAATTGCCGATCATGGGGTGAATCATTTTGTGACGATGAGGAGGGCGGGTATGAGTAAGGCGAGATGGCATTGAGTCGTGCTGGAGGGAAATCGCTCGAGGAGAGTCCGCTGAGTGCTGATTGAATAGATGGAAGCACCTGAGTGTTGGGATTACCACTGCTATTGTTAGTGCCGCCGTTCTCTGGAGATGTTGCTGCGCATGATGATGGAGGCGAGAGCGACTGTAAAGACGGGAGGGAGAAGCGATTCTTCAGCTCGGGAGATTGTTTGATGTCACTGAGAGGATGATGATCAAGCGAAAGTTTTCGTTCTGGATGTGTGAGGGTGGAGACGCTGAGACGATGCGGACGTTGTGCCGGAGACGGGAAGTCGAGAGAGCGAGGAGTATCCACGGACGGCGCCAGCCGGGGTAAGGGAGTTGGGAGCTTATTCGGTGGTGACAGTGGCCGCTCATGGTCTTTCCTAGGCTGGTCTCCCAGAGATTTCTCGAGAGGTTCTTCTTCCTTGAGACTCACGGGTTCGGCGGTGGTGGGCTTGGGCGGTTCGATCGGTTTGGAAACCAATCCTCCTGGTCCATCCAATGGCTTCTTATCGACTGGGCTCCGGTTCTTTCTGAAACAGTCCGTCAAGGAGTTGTCGCGCTCATAGGCCGCGATATCGGGACGGCCTGGAGCTAGAAAGTTGATCAGCACCGAGTCGCCGAAACGGGTGTGTGTCTGGGTTTCCGGCTGGTGCGGCTTACGGGAACGTTCTGGCGTTCCCTTGTCGCCTTTCTCGGTGACATCGTCGGACGGAGGGACGAATGGGGGCCGGGCATCGTCGGGCTCATACTTGGGGCACACCGCCACTGGTGGAGGTGACCGATTCATGGCATCGTCCGAATCGTAGAGGTCGGTCATGAAGGCAGGGCCGGGCGCATACGGCGCCTATATGGGAGGGGATGTGGTGTCGACGCAGGTGGACTTGACGCTCGATCGCACAGCATAGCACGATGTTGGACGGGAGGACCTCGTGTCGTCGCGGCAGAGGCTCTGCGGGTGGGATGTTCGGTTAGCGCTGAAGCTGTGAACTACTCGTGTGTTTGTCGCCTTGCTACCTCAGGCTCTGTAGTTCCCATGGCCCAGGCATCGACGTCTGGTTAGGACGATAGGAATCCGGAAGAGCTCGAGTATCAAGTAGGGTAGTGTTCGAGAGGGTGGGTGAGGGGGTGGGAGTGAGATTGGTACGAGTAGGTCAAGGTCACAAGCCTTAATTGAGCGGGAAAACGGGGACTGTGACCTCTGGGACTGGGGAGCCGCTAACTTACCAAGGGGGAGGTACCACGCCGGGAGAAGATCGAGTCAAGAACAAATAGCAAGGCCGGGAGAGGGGTGGGATGAGGCTCAACGGATATTCCACGCCATTCCCTCGAATGATATCGAGGGAAAAGAGGGTTGAGGTGCTCTCAACTTTTGGGAGGGGGAAAGAGAGGAGGGGAAGTTCTGAGCTAAGCGCAGCTCCTTCAAGGCAAGCAGAGGCGTAGATGATGAAATGAGACCAAAAAGAGTAAAAAGTTAAGAAGTCAAAAAGTAGAAGGGGGAAAATAATACAATAAAAAAAAGACAATAAAAAAATACCAGTAAAAAGACGAGCAATGTCGAATAGAAGGAGGAAAAAAAAAAGTGTTGATGCGGCTCTGGGAAAAGTGAGTGGGCCTTTGGAACCCGAGGCTCCAAGAAGTGAATTCCCCGCAAGGAAAGTGAAAGTGCAAGTCTGCTGACTGAACACGGAGTACTCTACTCTGTACTCTGCACTACACTACACTACACTCTACACCTACACCAAGACAACACCTCAATCCTCCCTCTCTCTCACACACACACAACCTCCCTCCTCCTCCTCCTCTCCCTCGGAAGATTAGGGGTCGCACAGTCCAGCACTCCCAGGCTCCACCGTTAAATTATTTCTCTCCGGAGTCATCAACCGGGGGGGTTGTCGTTACGACGAGTGGCAGCGTCCCCGCTCCACCGGGGCTTAAACCCGGGAAGGGAACCTGCACGACTCACTCCACTCGGTGGATTGCTTGCCCCCCGTGGTCATCCTGGACCAATGCCTGTTCCTTCGTCTAGCCTCGTTCGTGGAAGGATTGACAACGCAACAACTGCCTGTTGTTTCAGGAGCAGGCCATGACGGACCGCTCCGATATCGAGAGAGGGGAAGAGGGAGAGAGAGTTACATATTTACTCATACGGCCGGAGGAAGAGAGAATGGAGAAAATGGAGAGAAAAGCAGAGGCTGAGACAGACTCACTGTGGTGGGGACATCCTGAGGCCCCCCCCATGCCCATGGACAGCTCCCTCGGGAATTCGCAACTCATCTACCTTCCCACAAAAAAAGGGGGGTGTGGGTTTTCTGTTTCTTCACCCCCTCCTCCCTCAGCCTCACTTGACGTGGTAGAGCCGCAGGGCAGCCTCATTCCCCGCTGCAGAAACCAATCACACCGCATTTCTCCCCCCCTGGCAAAAAGCAAATATGCATGATCTTCTGGTCCCGTCACCTCTCACAACTTCCTTGGCTCTTGGCCCGTAGCCCCAACCCAACTCAACTCAACCCAACCCCCCCCCTCCCGTCATCTGTGCATCTGCGTCAGAAACTCTTTTCACGAGGGGAGATCGCGCTTCTACCCCACCAGCATCAGCAGGCACATCAGCAAGCCTTGATTCCCATCCTTTGACCCTCCCAGATGCTCCCTCTTCTTCGAACTAGAAGGGTTCGCTGCATGGTGGCGCCGCATTGACGTGGTAATGTGGGTGCCGCAACACAATTCGGGAGACGTGGACCAAATAGGGCCAAGTGCTGACACCCCATTCACACTAGCGTATCTAGTCCCGACAATATCTTGCCGTGAGAGTGAGACGGTGTACGTACGTAAGTCCGAGTATTTTAATCAATTGTATTGTGGGTCCCATTTGCCTCGGGTTGGCGAAGGAAGGCGGGAACTATGGACAAGCGCGGCCCACACCTCGCAAAACTAGACTGAAGGAGAAGTAAAAGTACAGAGTACATAGTAATCAGGCAGAATATGCAGTGCGAACACTCTGTAGTGAATCAGTTGATGTAAGTACTCAACTACACTGCACCAGCTGGGAGTATACATACAGTATACTCATACGGATATAAGGATATAAGATATAAAAAGTACTACTATAAGTACCAGTACTTACAAGAGTAACATAGTTACATCTGTATCATGCTATGTACATATGCAGCAAACTGCAGGATCGATCGACATACGAGATTACAACTTACCCTTCTGTTGCACCTGTTGCACGCGGTGCCAGGCGCTAAGAGCAAACGGCTTGGCCCGACTCCCGTAATCGCTCGCCCTCGCACTGCTAGCCTGTCGCGCCGCGAACCGGGCCGCAATGCCCTGCATGATGACGGAGCCTCGGAAAGCAAAAAATGCATCTCCCCAAACAATATCGCCCACAGGATCGTATCCAGACACCTCATGGTACCAACGCATGCATTCCTCACGCGATGGCAGACCCGGCGTCCGCCCGGGCTGGAACGATTCCGTCGACGAATCCGCCCCCTCTAGAATATACGGGCTGGTGACGTTGCAAAAGTCCGACAGCGGGTGTCCGACGGTCGCCATTTCCCAGTCAAGAATGCCAATTACTCGCGGCTCGGTGTGGTGGAAGATCAGATTGTCGATCTTGTAGTCGCCGTGGACTAGGGTGCCCCGATCCCGCGGTTGGGACGACTTTTGCGAGAAGAAGCGCACCATGTCTTCGAAGTGTGGCAGTTCTCCGACCGGTTCCTTGCTATCCACGTCGAGGACTTGGGCCTGAGCCCGTGAGATTGTTGTGAAGGTTGCGATTTGTCGGTCATAAAAGCCTGATGGCTTGCCGAATTTCTCGAGACCAATTGACTTGGGCACAACTCGGTGGAATTTGGCTAGCGTTTGAATGGCGGATTTCCATCTAAATCAACGAGGCACCTGTGAGTTATCTTCCACCAACGACTAAATTTAATCACAGCTTGCAGGTAGCGAAAATACGTACAGTGCTTTTCGCTCCTCGCCGCTAACCCCCGGCATCGCTGGGTCGGTGAAGTGTCGACCGTCCAGGAACGACATGATGTAGAATGGGGTGCCAATCACATCGTTGTCTTCGCAAAGGCAGAGCGCATCGGGAACGGGTACATCGGTATCGCCCAAGCTTCGGATAATCTTATACTCGCGCTCGACTTTGTGGGCTGTCTTGGAGAGCAGCTTGCCGGGGGGCTTCTTCCGCAGGACAAACTTCTTGCCGTCGGCGGTGGTCAGCTGGTAGGTTGGGTTGGATTGGCCGAATCCGAACTAGGGCGTTTGGTCTTAGTATCTGCAGGGTTGTGATAGGGCTCGGGATCACGCACCTGCTTCACATCTAATGGGGTCTTCAGAGCTGGCACGTTCTGGTCAATATACCGCTCCAGTGACGGAATGTCAATGGGCTGTCGCACTTCTCCTGCCATGATGAAGAAGTAGACTAATGAAGGAAAAGAAAAAGGGACCAGGTAATAGTAGAGGTCGGGTGAAAGAGGAGATCAAAGAGTGTCCGTGAGATATATACAGATCTCCGGTGTGAAGCAATCTAGGGACAGCCGGGGTACCTCGGCCCAGCCGCCCTCGGTCGGCGAGCGGGGAGCAGATTCCTTAGTCAGCGAGATCTGTGTAGCAGGAATTGACAAGAAGATCTTTGTCTACTAGTATGCTTCAAGTTTTAAGTTACATTAAATGAATAGTTTTAACCACAGATGAAGTATTTCCATGGAATAAAGCAGTTTCGAGTCCCTGTCAATTGACTTGTGGTAGCAGCATGTCATGCTATAGTCATTACTATAGAGTATACTAGTATGGTTATACCCTGTAGGTAGGTTCGGCGTTCAAACATTTACTTACTAACAGTATGGCCACACATAATTAATACCTAGATCAATCACTGAGCCTATTTTTGAGTAAACGACCGCCCGACGATATCTTTATTACAGCTTCCTTTAATGATCCTATATCCCCACCCATCACCCACTCACGCGTCCCGGCGGTGAAAGCCGAACGCGTCCCAGCGGTGAAACACGCGCAAGGGACGTCTACGGCCAGTGGACACACCGCAATTCTCTCTCGTGGATGAAAGACGAACTCGGTTCCACAGTCAACACCTGCCCTCCTCCTCTTCCACCCTCTCACTATCTCCAACAACCCCCCTCGGAATTGCCATGACCAAAGAGACCACCCCACCCACCTCGTCATCCAATTCCAACTCCATCCCCGCCACCCGTGAACCACCATCCCTCCCAACCTCCCCGCTTGCGAAACGCACCAAGACCAACGACACAATGACTGCCTCCAATGCCCCTGCCGTTACCTCCATCCAGCAACAGCTGCCTCCTCTCCTGGTGAAGAAGCTTGTTGACTCTGCTCGCGCCCCGACGCGGGGCTCCGCCTTTGCTGCGGGGTACGATGTCTACGCTGCTAAGGAGACTGTTATTCCCTCCAAGGGCAAGGCTATGGTTGATACTGGTATTGCGATTGCTGTGCCTGAGGGTACCTGTATGTGAATCTGTTGGATTGTCAATTGACACTTAGTTGGCATCATTTCAGGATTATGCTAATGCGTGTATATTTGTTTGTGAATAGATGGCCGCATTGCCCCCCGCTCTGGCCTTGCCTCAAAGCACTTCATCGATACCGGTGCTGGTGTCATTGATGCCGACTACCGTGGTGAGGTAAAGGTTCTTCTGTTCAACCACTCCGACGTCGACTTTCCCGGTATGTGAAAGAAAAACCCCGGGATCTTTTGCCCGGTTGCTGGGATGGGACTTCATACTGATGTGTTGGATATAGTCAAGGAGGGTGATCGCGTTGCCCAGCTGGTTCTGGAGAAGGTAAGTTTGCCCCATTGCGATGCGAATCTCTTCTTGTCTGTCAGATTGGGTCTAATAATATTGCAGATCTACACCCCCGAGGTTGCCGTCGTCGAGGAGTTGGAGGAGAGTGTCCGTGGTGCTGGTGGATTCGGCAGCACTGGCGTTTAGAGTCTGGGATTGAGAAAGACGAAACAAAAAGGACTGGATTGGGCTGGGCTGGGTGGTCGATTTATCGGAGTATTTCTAGATTCAAGGAATACCCGGAAGAATTTAATGAATTTATGCGTCGAGAACGACTCATCAAACGTGATCAATTATCAACAATCGCTGTTCTATACTTAAAATCTATCTGTAGAAATCCCCAATATCAGATGCCCCTCGTCTTTCTCCTTGTACATGATCCTGATCATGATCTTCAATTCCAACCCGTCCCAACAATCCACAGTCCAATGTATCACCAAGGCCGGAATGGGATATCTTATTGTAATCCGACAGGAAGATCTTCTTTACGCCATTCCTGCGCCTCAAACTGTACAAGCGGGTCACGCAAGAACTGCACATTTCGCACCAAACGCACCTCAGCAGCCTTCGTCCGGCGCAAATAATCCTGTTTCTGCTGTTCCTCCACACTCAACCCCTCACTTTGGCTCGTCTCTAGCGCCATCTTCGCCAGCTCGGCATTACGGGCTTCCATCGTTCGCTCAAGGACACTGTGCATACTGGAAAGAACCTTGAGCGTCGCTTGCGCCAGTGGTAAAGTCGTTGCCGAAACGCTGTCGGGAGAAACCCATGACGCGGTTGATTGGAGACCATCGCCGGCTGCTGCAACCGCCTCGCGAAGACGGGCGACCATCAATGCGGCGAACATGTCGCCCGTTCCGCTGAAGAAGCAGTCCAATGCGGGCACGTCGACGCGGAATAGACGCGGGGACCCGTCGCTTTTGGTTGTAGAGCCGATGACAGTTAGGAAGTTTTCTGGTGGGGTGGGGGTACAGCCTGATTGGGAGAGTTTGGATAGCTGTACAGAGGTTATGATAACATGTGGAACGGAGTAGATGCGGTGAATTGCGGTGATGGCCTCGGCCAGAGTGGCGAGGGATGTGATCTCGATGCCCGAGAGAACCCTGGGGAGATTCAGTTAGAGATATGGGGTTTCCCCCGGGCTAATGGGACGACTCACTCGGCTTCGAATTGATTTGGTAGAATCAGATCTGCATGCTTGATGACTTCCTTGTAGGCTGGGACGACGTCGCCATTCACATATAATCGTCCCTGGTCACCCATTACCGGGTCCAATACTAGTTCGAAAGATCAGCTTCAGCCATAAAGAAGACATGGGGAAGTCACTTACCCCAGAAGAACGAGCCAGGCTTCCCGGACTTTTTCTTCAAGTCCATTCCAATAGCGCCGACTGCTTCGACGGCCGCGGCGCTGGGGGCATAACCAGACAGCATGACGTCGAAATCCGTGAGATTGCTTTGGCAAAGACCCTGATAGAGGTCCGTAATCTCCTGGGCAGTTGCGCGAGTTCCCTTAAATTGCCGGTAGCCAGTATGGTTACCTATCTGAATCAGTCCGTTGCTCCCCGCGGTTGGAACGGGTCGGCGGGGTATGGTCTCGTGCGACGTGGATGGGATGCACCTTGGCCGAGAAACATGATAAGACTTACTAAAGTGAACGGTGTTTAAGGCGGCAACATCACAGCCGAGGGACTGCATGGCAAATGATGCCATTGAATTGCCCACATGGCTATGGGCTGTCAGTTGGAGACTCGGACGTCACAGGCGATGACTCCACACTGAGCAGACGCGGAGTTCAGAGTTCACATACCCATATACAACCTGGGGAAAGGGGTCAGTGCTTTCTTCAGGATAATAGAATAGTTAGGACATACCTGGCTTGCTACAGCCAGTACTCGTGTTTCCGGCACGAGGGAATTGGACATGGTGGTGGTGAATGATGATAGAGGCGAGTGTGGGGGAGGATTGGAAGATTAGAAGTGGCCGAATTCTCCCTTACCTAATTGGCTCGCCGGCGGGAAACACTGCAACTTGGGAACACAATTGTGATTAATATTAATATATCAATATATTAATGCATAAACATATAAATATCACAGATCTATTCTGCTCAATAGGATCGTACTAATACAACTATTATTCTTGAGCTCTATGCTGATCAGCATCCAATGTGGGGTTGTTGGCCACTATATTTGAAGCCAGTACTAGCAATAGGAGTATTTACTGAGTGAGGAATCTGTATTACAAGTCTACCGAGTATTAACTATGTAGTGGATGATTTTAAAATCCATCAATGGTGCATAATATCATAAAATATCACTCTGATACCTACCTGGGTATACCACATACGGAGTGACCGGGCAATCTTACTTGAATTACTCCCGGACAAGTTTCCAAAGTGGCCCTTGCAGCGAAGAGACACGGTCCCGACGGTGCCCCGAGTTCAAGTTCAACTTGTTTCTGGCACTGGCATACTCCGTACTCGTACAGTCCTCCGTCCTCCGCTCCCTCCATTATTGTGAGCTTCCGGTTGCCTTTTAGTCCCAGAGAGATCGACAATGTTTCAAGTTCCAGTCCCTGCACCAAGCCCGGCCACCATCGGTCTCCTCGGTCTCCGGAGATCGTCACCAATCTCTCTCATCCTCCCAACTGCAAAAAAGCAAAACACAAAAAGCAAAAAGCCAAACAGTATGGATAGGATCGTCATGCTGGGAACCCCAAGCTTGGCCCCTGCACGATGCAGGCACCGTACAGGGCACCCCTGAGCCATCACTCAAAGTGGTGCGCGTCTCCACCGAACGATCTAGTCCTCCGCCGACGCTGTTTCGGGGCCTAGCGTTGTGCCCGGCCTCGTCGTTTCGGCCTTGGCTGGCACTGTGATGCCTTTGCCAACTAAAAATCCTTCGGCTACTAGCTCCGTGCATTCCCTGTCTTATACGCCGGGGTTCCCCTCGTGGTCCTGCCAGACACCCCATCAGTTCTGTCACATCGCCATCTCCGTCTCCTTTACGGATGACTTGTTGATTGACAAGCTGTGTACCATGTCGACTGCATAACCTCTGTGTACGCGTTTTTCACTCTTTTAGCCCTCCGCGGCATCCATCATTCGTTTACTTTCTCCTCGCCATGGAGACCATTTCTCGCCTTTCGAGCGACGATAGCTCCCCAAAAGCCACTCATTCTTTTGCATGCGATTCCCGTCCTGCTTCTTTCTCTCAACGCCGCTGGTCGCGTCTCGGCCAGTTTCGACTTTCTCAAGTCTGGAGGCCTTTCTACACCGGCCTGTTAATTCTAATTGTTATTCTTTGCCTGTCGCCTACCGCCGCGGCGCAATCACAATCTGCAACTGCATCGAAGCTAAACGCGGATATCCCGCGATCGGCTTCTAACGCAAGTGGAGAGATCTTCGTGGACGGTCTCCACGGAAGATCTTCATCGCTCCAGCCTCATGGAGATGAAGCGAATGGCTGCGAGAACAATGATCTCGAAAAGCGCTCCAGTGATCTGCTTCTCCCCGGAAAATCGTCACTGCCAATTCCAACTCGTCCTCGTCCATGCCGACTCCATTCGATACGATATCCTATAACTTCGCGAATCAGACCTGTACTACATTCTTCACCGACTTCCTTGCCAACTCGACCGTTACTGACTGCCATGCTATCTCACTACTCCTCGAGAACTCCAATTCTTTCTTCCACACCTTGAGTTCCGCCGCGGCTACCTCGCGCGTCCTAGATGTTACTTGCTCCCAGTCGGTCACGAAATGCGCTTCCATTATGACCAACCTGGCTAGTGAGATGATCAAAACTGAGAACTGTGGAGATGACTACAGCGCGGGAAACTCGGTCGTGCAGGGCACCTACCAAGACTTGATGGCATATGAGCCCGTCTATCGAGCGACTTGCTTGACAAACCCCGACACAAAGGACTATTGCTTTGTTGACGCGGTGCAGAATACGACAGCACCAAATGATTACAATGTCTATTTCATACCGGTTGGTACGCCGCTCACCAAATCGGGGGTTCTGACCTGCAACGAGTGCCTGCAAGCCAGCATGGATATTTTTGCCCAGTGGGCAAAGGTCAACAACCAGGCTCTGGACACTACCTATGTTCCATCCGCAAAAGTTGTTAACAAATATTGCGGGGCCAACTTTGCCAACACCAATGTCACAGTCGGCTCCGATAGAGTCACAGCTGGTGCTGGGCTGAGTGTGCAGCTACCTGGGGCTCGACTCGCATTATCCGTTCTGGGACTATTCCTTGGACTTGGCTATATGGGAATGCTCTAAGTTGAGATTGCATTCTTGACATACTCCATTTTTACTGTATATCACCAGAGACGAGGCTCTTCTCGATTGCCCTTCTCTGACCTTCCTTGAGAATCCTGCCATGTGCCACGACAGCGAAGCGCTTGCTTTTCTATTACACCTACGTCCATATTTTACATTCCATGTCTATTAATTAATCAAATCTACATATTACCTATGCCATCTTTGCTCCAAGTTATAAAGAAAAAGATCGTCACCACCTGGAACTGATGCATCACGACTGTTCTAAAAATAGTAAACCGCGAACCCCCTCTACAAACCCTCTTTTTGATCATTTCTTGATCACGGCAAATGCCATTTCGTCAAGGTTTGCATCAAAGCAACCGCTAGACCCGTTAGTTTCAAGATCTTCCCCATCAAAGCGTTAAGCGTGGTTACACAGCCTCAACTGCCATCACATCCCACGGCAGTGACTGCAGCGCCTCAGGGGCGGGGCGCCAGCCTCATCAGGGGCCACTTAAAGAACCCTGCACCATTTTCGCCCCCAAACAAGCGGGATGGAAAATCGTAGGAGTCATTCTTTTTAAATTGGAGTCGTTGCCTTAATGCAGCGTCGCCCACAATTACTTGGTGCTTATTTTATTTTATTTTGCATGTCTCACTCACTCACACCATGTTAGTTTCACCTCAAACTTCCGCAGTGCCGTCGTCGCATCATCTAGCAACTATCCGGCCACTGGTCGATTCTCTTTATGACTCCACTCGCCAATCAACCGCCCTAATCAACCAAACCCACAATGAGCTCGGCTTGCTTCTTGCAGTCTTGTCCGCTACCGAAGCGCGTTCTTCGCTGCTCTATGCGGATCGCTCGCCGCCGGCTCTGGACCGGAAACTGGAAAGCTGTCACGCGATTCTGTTGGATATTGAAAAGTTGCAGAATCGACCGGCGGAGATAGGTCTGCAGGGTCGTATCACGGAAATTCGAGGTCGGATCTCGTCTTTGGTATTTGAACTCAATGTGTTGAATGCCGATATGATGATGTTTGTGCTCTTCTTGGTGTTTATTTGGAATTTTTATTGGCATTGACTGTGATTCTCTAGATGCTCGCAAAATGAAGTCAATCAGTTGCTAGGTGCCTTTCTTGACGATGTGCGTGAGGGGAAGCGAGAGTCCTCAGTCATCACGGATGCCCTGGACGATGATGCTTCTCCGGCTCCAGGGAAAGGACAAGCATGGGTAAATCTTCAGCAGGAGCTGCTCGATGTGGGGATTGCTCCTGATCTGTCTTTTCAAGATCACGATTTTATCATTTCGACTCTTCGTCGGGAAGTTGAAGAGAAGGAACTATTGAAGAATATCAAGCCGAAGCCAGCACAGGGAATCGTTGAGCCTCCAGCGATCATCGTCTCTTCGCCTGAGTCTCCAGTTGAAACCGAAATCAAAAGAGAGAGCTCGAAGCCACCACCATCAGAGATTGTTGAGCCTCCAACGAATATCGTCTCATCGTCTGGATCTTCAGTTGCAAACCAAGCTAAGAGAGAGAGCTTTCCCTCCCTACCACCTCGGCCTCAAGATCCAGGACTTTCTGCGCTTTCTGAAAAGGAAGTTGTTGTCACTAGAGCTTTTCCAACCAATGTATCCCCGAATGAAATTTCACCACCGCTACCGCCTCGACCTCGAGACTCAGGACTCTCTGCACTTTCAGACAAGGAGGTCACTTTCACAAAGTATTCACCAAACCCCGCCCCAACACATCTACAGAAGGCAAGCGATACAGAGAAACAGGTGCTACCGACAGACAACTACCCAATCCCTGTTGCGACAGAGGCATTCTTCAACACGGCAGGCGACTCCGATAAACAGGCTCTCCCACGAGACAATTACCCGATCCCGGTGTCTACAGAATATTTCGCAGCAAGCAACTTCAACAGGCATGTTGCTTCGCGAGAAAGCATATCGATGCATACAGCTACCAATTCCAGCTCTCGTGGTAGCTCGTATGGGGATGGAAACAGCAACAGCAATCCTTCTCTCTCCTCTTCAGCCCGAGTCCCGGGCAAAAAGCCTAGCATCATGCACAAAATGAAGTACAGGTTAACAAACAGCAAAGAAAGCTTCATCTCTTCAATCCAGCTGAACAAAATCGACTCCGTGAAGAAAGCATTGGATAAAGGCGCGAACGCCGATACCATGAATCAAGAGGAACAAACCGCCTTAATGGTAGCATGTTCCTACGGCCACGAAGAAATGGTAAAGATACTCCTGAACTACGGTGCGAACGCGAACAAATCCTCCGATAAAGGAGAAACAGCTCTAGGCGTCGCAGCCGGACGCGGAAAAGAGAGCATTGTCCGCACCCTACTAGCCCACGGAGCTAGCGTGAATTCTCACGGCCGGGCGAAACCAGGACTATCCGAGGCTGCGGCATTTGGGTACGAAAATATCGTGCAGTTGATGCTGGACTACGGCGCTGATCCCAATGCGATGCGTGGATTTGGCTTGACGGCGCTGTCTCAGGCTGCATCGAATGGCCATGTTAATGTTTGTCGTTTGTTGTTGGATAATGGGGCTCTGGTCGATCACCCACGTTCTATTATTCACAAATCGCCGCTCGCGAGGGCTGTTGAGTCCGGTAAGGCGGATGTTGTTGGTCTTTTGATGGAGCAGAGGGCAGATCCGCTACGCAAAGATGTTGGTGGAAAGACGATTATATCTCTTGCGGTTTCGACTGGCAGAGCTGGTATTGTTGAGATATTCCGCCGGTATGGGTATCTGTGTGAGAGAGCTACCGTTCAATATTACTAGAACTGCATTTAGATGGTGATATACTTCCAAAGAAATCGGGAAATGGTATTTATCAATTCATTCAAAACTATTACTACTTCATCATCAACGATGAAATCCACTGGCAATTAGGCTAGTTATTAACATCACTATGCTCTGCCAAAAACGCAGCGGCAAATATATCCATATCTTGCACAAACCCATTCAATCTCTTCGGCTTCCATCCAAGTAACTGCTGCGCTCGAGCAGAAGATCCTCTGAAACTGGTACTCATCGCCTTTGCAAACAAATCCCCACCATGACCCTTCAGCACAACCTCGCCTCCAAACCCCCAACACGTCGCCAAGGCGTCAAATATTTCCCGCATCCCCTCTTGGCTAGTAACAAGGTCAAAGACAGGATAGACTCCCGTTCCAGCAAACAAATGCACCTTCTCCACAGCCTTTGCAAATGCGGCCGCAGCATCGTCGACGTGAATAAGACCAGGCCGAGAATGAGCATCGAGTGGAATCTCAATCGGAGAAAATCCGCTTCCATCCTGAACAGCGCGATACACCGGCATGATAAATGAAGACCAAATAGTACTTTCCCGTCCGTAGAGTAGAGCTGGTCGTAATATCATCACATCTAGTACATCATTCGCCCCCAAGACAGCATTTTCCATTCCAACGCGCCACTCAACCAGTTCCTCCGGTGGTGCATTTCCACCCGAACCAACAATATCAAGATCATTAACCTCAGGCCGCCAGTGTCCACTCGAAGATCCATGCACCCAGGTTCCCGAGCAATATATAAAGCCAAGTTTACCAGTGGGACCCTTCACTCCTCGACGCTTAGCATCAGCCAAACGTTCCGCTCCAAGATGAGCTACATCGTTCAGAAAGTTGTGAGAACCGTGATCGGCTCCGGCAGCGTCGATGACCACGTCTATATGCTTTGACTCTATGGCTGAGAGGTATGGGCCCGGTTCATTGACTGGGTCTGGACAGAGAATCGGGATGATCTCTTGTTTGGATAATTGGGTTGCTTTGGCGGGCGTTCGAGCTACGCCGAAGACGGTGTTTTGGCCTTGTTGGACGAGGAGGTTCGCGATTTGGCGGCCTAGATAGCCGGTGGCTCCGAGGATGAGGACTTTTGGCATGTTGAGAAGAGAGGTTGCTTTTAGTACTAGTAGTACCTAATCAAGACTGGTTTTCTTTGTTGATACCCAGGTGGGGGAATTCCAAAGTTGATTATTTATCAGTACTATGCCGTGGCTACTTATTCGAGGGCTCTGCGGGGGATTTATACTATACGAGGTCCTTTCTTTACCTAGGCAGAAGACCTATGTTTTCCCGCTGATATGTACTAAGTCCGGTGACGACAGCTGGGTAGAAATTGTAAACCCCGGGATTCATGGGCTTTTTCCGCATTAAGTATCCGGTCTCTTCAGTCTTTATGGTTTCCACGGGGTATAACCTTGGGGAAGCTGGCCTGGGGCCGTAAATCCGGTCCTAAGTCCGGAATGCCCGATCTGGACGTGTAGTGCCCCTTCTGGCATCTAGAAAGTGAAGTGATGGTAAGAAATCAAATCTCCTTGTGTTTTCTAAGCTGTCTGGAGAGAAGAGAGGAGTCAATGGGTGGTTCAAGTTGTTGGTTCATGGATGCCTGTTGGTGGGGGTGTCCATGCATGCGGGGTTCTCAAGTGCCCCCTCCAGTCGTGCTCGGGTGATTATGGAGTTGCACCCCAGTACTACAGGTACCTGGAAGAGAGAAGTACAGAGGTAGTAGTAGTGTGCCTAACTATTGGCCTGGAGTGAAACAAGCCCACGGGTTCAAGTTCCAATGGGCAATTGGATAGTACTAGTAGTAATAGTCGTACCTACCATATTGTCTTCCGCTAAGGATATGCAAGTCAAAACCGACATCATGATACATATAATTGCTATAGCTAGTATACTATACCACTTCACCCAGCCAGTTCTAGAACCATATTGCTTGCCCTCCACTCTGGAACTACCTCGGGCCAATGCCAATGCCAATGGCTACCCACATTGGGTGTTCTCGACCAACAACATTCCCTGGCTGAGCCATGACATCACGAGGAGCTACGCAATGGGATTAAAAAGGAAGGGTCAAAGTAGAAAGTCAAAGTTAGCAACGTGCTAGGATGGTTGAGGTTGAGGTTGAGGTATGACTTCCAAGGAAACCACCGGCGCGCAGGAGTCCGTGCCTTCCTGTAGACAGAGGCAGTCCAGAGAGGCAGAGAGTGGCGGAAGGCGCGAGAACTGGAGTGGGGCAAGCACTACCCAGACTGTGTCTGTGTCTGTGTCTGTGTCTGTCTGTGGTTGCCCCTCCAAAGATCGCAGGTGCAAAGGACTCCCCTCCCCGCCTTCCGCCTTCCCCTCCACCCCACCTGGCTCGGATTTTCCTCTCCTCTTCCTTTCTCTTCCTCTTCCTCTTCTTATCCCCCAAAAGTATCATCACTTTCACATCATCCATCATGTCTTCCTCCGCTTTCTTCGTTATCGAGTACGGCAAGCCCGGTGCCAGTGAGTCTTTCTCTACCTTAACCCTCCCCCCCCCCCTCTCCCTCTATTTTTACCCCTCCATCCCCTCTCTGCCTCCGAGTCTGCATGCGCGTCTTATGGAATTCATCTCCATGAGCCTCAAAACTCCTCTTCTATCCTTTCCTCAGAGTCTCCTGATGTTCAATCCATCCATAATGCCATCCAGGAATCCCATGACTCAATTTGGCTAACCGCTGTTTTCCTTCTACCCAGCCACCCAGGGCCGTGTTGACTTCAAGCTCTACGACGACGTTGTTCCCAAGACCGCCAAGAACTTCGCTGAGCTCTGCAAGAAGCCTGTCGGTGAGGGCTACAAGGGCTCTGCCTTCCACCGTGTCATCCCCCAGTTCATGCTCCAGGGTGGTGACTTCACCCGCGGCAACGTAAGTGGACTCTCCGTCTCCAGCCTTGTTTTTCTCTTTCCCTCGCCCCGCTCGGCGAAGAAACAATCAATGGCTAACCAACCTTCATCTAATAGGGTACCGGTGGCCGCTCCATCTACGGCGAGAAGTTCGCCGATGAGAACTTCAACAAGACCCACACCAAGCCCGGTCTGCTCTCCATGGCCAACGCTGGCCCCAACACGTACGTTGCCCTTTTGCTCCTCTATCAATTCTAACACCACCCTTGAGCTTGAGCCTGACCATATACTAACCTCTTCTTCAACAGCAACGGCTCCCAGTTCTTCATCACCACCGTGAAGACCAGCTGGTTGGATGGCAAGCACGTCGTCTTCGGCGAGGTCACCTCCGGCTACGAACACGTTCAGGCCATTGAGAAGCTCGGCTCTGGATCCGGTGCCGTCAACGGCAGTGCCAAGATCGTCGACTGTGGCTCCGCTTAAATGTTTCTAGTCTCGAAAATATGATCTTGCCGTCGATTTCCTTTCCTCGCCGCGTTATTCTGCCGGCCGGGGGGTTTTCGATTAGTGCTTCTGACTTAAATCACTCAATCTCAATTTTCTTTTTGCGGCGGAAGCTGCTACTCTAAGAATTACTCCATCATAAGACTGCGTAGAAGGTTGTCTGTAATGTGTAGACATACTAGCATCTGCATTGCGAATTGATACTACTAGTACTATTGCTATCTTACACTGGAAAAATGGTACAAGTAGACCTCGCCGCCGAAAAGTCCGGCCTGGCAGAAAGGCATTTTGATTTGAATTCGTTAAAATGCCGCACTTGTAGAAACACGATCCAGTATGTTCACAGCAAAGGTTAAAAATAAAAGGGCATAAAGCACAAGGCACAATATGCAATGGCATACATAGCAAAGTATAGACAGGCAAAAATGCAATCACAAATGTTGGAAGATCATGACCAGCAGAAACATAAGCTCTTGTCATTCATCGAGTCAAATCGAATTTGAACAGAGAAAAGCAGAAATATGTGCGCACGCAAGAGGAATCAAAGCAATTGGCAAGTCAGACGCTTTGGTCGCAAAGAAAGAAAAAAAGCAAAACGGATCCAAGCTATTCAACTCAGCTCAACTCAGCTCAGCTCTTCCGCGAGGAAGAACCATCACCAAGCGCAACGCCGACCAGACTCTGTGGCTCGCCGCCGAAGCTGGTGCCGGGATTGGTCAAAGTGGGGGAGCCAACGCCCGATACAGGACTTTGGGCCGCATCTCGGTCCCGTTTGACGCGGAAATAGGCCAATTTGGCGAATCGGCTCAGATGGGTCCAGAAATGGCGTCCGGCTGGGTGGACTGCGATACGGTCGAGGATTTCTACCGTTGCTTCGCGGACGACTTGGTCCGGGTGGAAGAGGCCCATGCTGAGGTAGAATAGTCCTGCTTGGTTCTCCGGCGCAACTACCAGCAGCTGACAGATACCGGCGTAGTCCCTGACTACATGAGAAAGTGCGAGGTAAATGGCGGCTGAGTCGGCGTGGGATAGCTTGAGAGATCGCAGGCGGTCGTGGTGGTGGAATAGATCTGGTCGTTGGATTGGTCGGACGGCAGAGTACATGCTTGCAATGTCTTGGATGTAGGAGTAGTAGGATCGGGTATTGCGCCAGCCTTCAATTCTCGATACCGAGGCTGAGAGCTCGCGCTGCTTGGCCGTTTCGTCAGACCAGACATATCCATGGCCACGAAGGGATGATGGGTCTGCTGGATCTGTTTGTTGGCCGGTAGGACTGTCGGGGGATAGCTCCTCTCCGGGGCCAATGATGTATAGATTTGAGGCACCGTAGACAGCTTCTTCAAAGGCTGCAGCCACCCGAGTAAACTTTGTGATATAGGCTCGCCACTTTGCACGGATCGCATTCTCGCCATGTCGATTGCTGATACTGCGGAGAATGTCCTCGATAAACAAATTATCACCGGTAGGGTCCGAGTTGGCATTTGAACTGTGGTTCGGCAAGAGTGCGTTCTGCTGCTGGAAGAATAATAGTCCCTCCGTCACTGGTGCAGACTCGACATGACTCGAGATCTTCATACGGCCTGTCGGAAGGTCGCACATGACATCCCACCACTCTGGGTGATTGGCGAAGGTGGGGTTTGTTACACCGGCAATGAAGCCGGGTACTTTGAGGAGGTCGTCGATTTTGCTTAAATCAGTATAAGGGAATGCGTGTCTGGTAAATCCACGAAGGATTCCACCAGATGCAAGTGCGCAGGCTGCGAGGACCGCCTCGGCCACTTCGCCCGAGGGCCTGTTGTGGCCCAGGAAGATAACACGTTTTTGAGTGAGAATGGCATTGACGAGAACAATGATGGGATGTGTAAATGGGCCGCTGGTGGTTAGATGAGGGTGGTTCGGGAAAGGTTGTGGAGATGTAGCATGCGGTCCGGCGAAGGTTTGAATCAGTTTGACGAGAGAGAAATCGCCAACGGTCTCGGGCCAGATCACGGTTGGGATTTTGACGGGGATCGGTATATCGTGATAGACCACTTTGGACTCGAACTCGTGCGTGTCCCGCGGTAGGACGTAGCGGGCCATTTTCTTCGGTGATGGTGGGCACTCGCTACCATCTGTCTCTTCTTCTTCCCGTTGACGAATCATTTGCTCAAATTTCTCAATAAACATCTCCTTTGTGTTGCTCGATTGTAAGATAGAGCGCTCGAGGATCGACATTTTGGGCATGAGCGAAAGATCCATGTTGTTGACGGCGTCGTAGAGCGAAGCAAGTGTTTCGGGGTAGGGGGACTTGAAGTAGTCTTCGAGTGCTAGGAGGAGGAGAGGCTGGTGCCGTTAGGTTAGTCGTGGTAATATGCTCTAGTAGAGGTAAGCCTACTTTATAGATGTGAAGAAACGAATGCCTAGTGCAAATGGCCATGGCCTTGACAACCGCACCACTATGTTTTGGTTAGATTATTGGACGAGATGAAGATTGAAGGATGTATTCCATACCGTCGGACAGTATTATCTTGCTTGGTATTTACCAAGTTCAACACATACATCAAGGGCGGACCTTCTCCACCCTCGTCATCGTCGTCGTCTTCACTGCTGTCGTCGACATCGTCTGGATTTTCGTGCTGAATGTCCGCGCCCTCCTCATTCCCACGGTATTTTGACTTTCGCTTTTTCTTTTTCTTTCCACCCTCTTCATCGTCGTCATCATCACCGCTTGTGTCCTTGTGCAAGAAGAAAATCGTCCAATCTTGACTTCGGACATGGGTCTGATCTGGAAGCATCAGCTCCGCCAACATGCTCTCGTCACCACTAATAGCAGCGGGGTATTGATGCTCCATGATCGGACCCCTGTCGATATGGAAAGATGCCACCAGAATGTACTCCACATGGCGCTCCGACGAGTCTAGAGGGTATTGGGACTTGCATCGGCGCTGTCTGAAGGCCCCCGCATTGTCGGTGGAGGAACGCTGGAACGATCGGTGGGAATGTGAAGCGCTGGGCGAGCGACCGAGGAACGAAGGCGCAGGCGAAAGACGAGGGAGTCCATTGGTCTTGGGATTGGTAGACAAGGAGTCGTTGGAGGGTCGGTATGGCAGAGTGCTAGCCATTGTCGGAGGGAGGGGGAGGTTGAGGAAGTTGAGAGGGGTTGAGACTGATGCTCCTAGGAAAAAAGGTCGAGGGACATGCCTATGCGCAGTGAAGTCAAGTTCTTTCTCCGGGGTCAGATCAAGGATCAATGCCGAGCCAGCGCAGATCTGGTGGTTCAGGGGTCACTTCAGAAAAAGGGCGATCTCCACAGCGGGGGGCGATAGGGCGATAACAGAAAGCTCGGAGATTGGGATTAGGGTACTTTAGGTAAGGTACTACTCTATGGAATTGTGTACATTCATGTACTAAATCACCCTGACTACATAATTGATGGCAAAATGTGAATAGATTTATGCCATTTAGGTCAACCCATGACAAGGGCAAAAACTTGACCAGTCCAACCTTGAACTGCTGGAAATTGATAGCTCCAAAACTCCCGATGCACGTGACTGTTGCTGGGCCATTGTTTACATCCGTCATCACTCAATCGGCAGTGCAGCTATCACTATTGAACATCCACGTTCAGCCATGGTGAGTACTGAGGTCCCTGTCTGCTCCTACTTATCTTTGAATTTCTCTAGAGCTAAGTTTTTCTCTTGTCATGCTCTAGTCAAGCAATCCCACTTTCAAGCCATCGCCGCTGTCCTTTGGTCAGCCAAGGGCATCGCCCTTCCGGCGACCATCGACGCCAAACTCCCCACCCTCCGGCCGTCCAGGCACGGCAGGAAGCTCTCCAAGCAGAGGATATACGCCGATGCAATCACCAAGCAAATTGAACCAATCCTATACCGTTGAAGAAGGGGAGCCGGTCTCCCCCAGGAACGACCCGATTCCTCAACCCAAGTTCACGCGCGAGCTTCCTCCTTCCCCACCAAGGGCGCACAAGACCCCGGTCATTCGTCGCCCATTCTTGGAAATCGTTCAAGGGGGTGGAGTGGTGCAAACACCGTACAGACCGATGTCTCTGCAAAGCTACCGCCCAATCAGATGAGAGAAATTCGAGAGGCTTTCCAGGTTCTCGATCGGGATAATGATGGTCTGGTCAACAAGGATGATGTCGCGGATGTATTGATGAATATAGGTGAGTGAAAACAAACAATAAAGGCTAGGAATGGCTGGACTTTTCCCACTCATACTGACAATCTCGATCAGGCCAAGATTCATCGCCGTCTACTCTTTCGCGCTTCTTCCCGCCCGGGTCACCGCAGACCATGAATTTCCCAACCTTTTTGAACACTTTATCACAGCTAATGGCCCCCATGTCATCATCCCAAGAACTCCTCAATGCGCTCGCTGCCTTTGACGATGATGACAACGGTCAAGTCGATGTGGCAGAACTACGGGATGCGCTTCTGCATACCGCCCCAGATGATGGAGGTGTGCCGTTGACAGAGCAACAAATTGATGAGGTGTTTAGTGGATTTACAGGACGGCGAGCCTTCGGGGGGGCGGGGTGCGATGTCAGGGGGAATGGGAAAGAGAGGCGAGGTTTTTCAGTACCACGACTTTGTTCGCAGCGTCGTAGGAGGCGAGAATGCGAATAACGGGCGGCGCGAGGCGAGTGTGGCTCCGAACTAGGTTGGGAAGGCTGAGTCTTTACGGTGGATGGCGTTGGGGGGGGGGTGCTTATTGGGAGGCTTTTCTTGCTCTGCTCTACTTTACCTTCAGGTATTCTCTAGGCCCTGAGCGGGCAGATAATGCGAGGTGACTAGGCCCTTTACTTCAGCTGGCAGGGTCCAATTATGATCAATGTATGTATACTGAGCTGAGCGCGCGCTACGCATATAAATTTCACACTGCGAGAATCTTGATAGTCCATGATTATTAGTAGGGTACTTCTTGGAGATTTCATATAATATCCATGGATGCAATTAGCGTTCGAGAGTTCAAGTTTGTAGAATGCCCAGTGTACCAGTACGAGTATTATGTAGTATCCTCCCTCGGCAGCTCGTACTACATTAGTATGTTTACTAGAGTAAATAATGCTGTCGGTCCCACCAAGACTATCGAGTATCACTAGAATGGCTCGGGATACATGCTATTTCGAGACTCAGAATAGATCCAAACAATTCACCTGAAACATCGGGGATTGAATTGCAGCTGATCTCGACGCTAAGGCTGCATCACCTCGATCCGATGCTGCGCGTTGCTCCGCAATTCTCCAACGGCAGAAAATCAGCTCGGAGCTTCCAGCCACCACTTCCAAACACTTGACCTTGAACCTGAACTTGAACTGAGCAACGAAATTTGGACCTGAGACTACCACCTCCCCAATGCTGTCATAAGACATGGCCAAACCTCACCCATCTTGGGGTCTCGCTGGCCCCGAGACTCCCGCATCACCGCGGACGATGCGAACACTCCGAAAGATCCAATCGCATCAAGTCCTAACCACCTCCAACGCCCTTATTGCCCAGACTCAATCTCGCCCATCGCCAGCTCGTACTCACGATTCCAATTCGACAGACTCACCAGGTGGTCCAACGCGGACCCTCACCCATCGAAGGGCTCGCTCCAACAGCGATGCGGCCGCCCGGGAAGCCGCACTGACAGCACCTATTCCACACCACAGACGCCCTGCTAGAAAGACTGGCTCGGGGATAGGAGTCAAGCGATCACTTCTGGAGAATCTGCTTCGCGATGGACCGCAAAATGGAAAGACGCAGGAAGGGCTGCAAGAGTTGAAGTATCTGGTTCTCTCGACCAAGGTCGATGCAGATGGCGACGGCATGGTAAGAGCATTCTGCTCTCGACGTGAGCGCATTGCGACCTCCATTGACTAACCCTTCGTTCTTTTTACCGATAGTCCCCTTACCGGATTTACCTGTGGCTTGTTCTCCTGAATATCCCACCCGTTCCCACGGACGACTACCTGACTCTCGTCCACCGAGGCGGCTCTCCTGCCTACACGAAGATCCGCAACGACACCTTCCGAACACTCGCCACAGACCCCCTTTTCAAGCGCCGCGTGACAGAGGCAAGTCTAATCCGACTACTTAACGCGGTCGCATGGAAACTCCATGATTCAAAACCGAAATCTCGGTCCCGACCTACTTCCTCCCGACGACGAGAAATGGAACTTTTAGTAAACACGCCCCCAAGCATTGCCGAGGAACCCGGCTCCTCCGACTCCGCGATCTATGTCCAAGGAATGAACGTTCTCTGCGCTCCATTCTTATACGCAGCTCGGAGCGAAGTCGAAGCATTCGCCTTGTTCCACTATTTCGTCACGCAAGAATGTCCCGGATATATCCGCGGCGCATTGGATGGCGTTCACAAAGGCCTGCGGCTAGTCGATCGATGTCTTGAGATCGTCGAACCTAAACTTGCCGCGTATCTCGCTTCGAAATCTCTAACGGCGGAACTGTACGCTTTCGCGTCTGTTCTTACGCTTTCTGCTTGTACGCCGCCGTTGCCGGAGGTTCTGCACCTGTGGGACTTCCTATTTGCGTACGGTCCCCACCTCAATATTCTCTGTATTGTTGCTCAGTTGGTCCGAATACGGGACACGATCTTTCAAAGTGACAGGTAAGTTGACACGCTCCGTACCCTCTCTCGACATATCTGACGCCTTTTTCTTCTTCTCTCTTTTTAGCCCCGGGAGAGTTCTTCGATCCTTCCCTCCGCTTGAAGCTAAGGGCATCATAGCGATGGCAGTTTCATTTATCCCGGAAAATCCCGGCCGATCTCTACGAAGAGATGATTAACCACGCAAAATGAGCGGCGCGAGGCCTAGAGGAAGGGCATATTATTTATTTCTTTTCAAAATGTGTACTTAATGTTCTGGCTTTTTTCCATAGTATGGCGTTCTGGGCATGACTTTGTTTATGATTTTTGGTTGCGGGATGGACAAGATGCATAACATCGGACGACTTCTCAGGTGTTATGATATAGCCTGAAATGAATTGATGATTCACGGTTGCATATTACTTTTTATCTTATTCGAGAGTCAGACAGTTGATTACTAGCAGAATATTTACATTTGTGTGACTTCCAAGTTGGCGTTGCACAGTAATACTACTAGTAGTACCAGGTTTTTATAGAAATTCTGCGGATGGGTTGTTGACCAAGCGTTGGTTTTACTAGTACTACTCCAGGGCTAACATTAAATCCATGATACTAGTAAGACTCAATATCCTCAACACCTTCAAGTTTGTTACATACTTTCGAATGATAAATAATGAATAATATGGCATAGTACATTAATATCAACAACGTCACGCATCAAATGCATCAATAATAGCTCACAGTTCCCTTCGAAGAATCTAGGTCGGAGCAGATGTAGACAGCAATTCTAATGACCGACTCTGGTGACCCGAACCATCAACAACAAGCGGTTGACTAGGACCATGTGACTTCTTGCTAGAGATATCCTTTCCACACTCGCTACACTCAGAGCTCTTATCATTCAAGGCCTCCGCTTCCTCTTCCGCAGCCATTGCACCGTCCCAACTTCCACTGCGAAATTTACCAGGTCCATTGTCCAACATGACGCGGATCCTGGAGCCCATGAAAGTGAGGTTGTTCAGCATTGACACGGCTCGCTTCGCGTCTTCGGGGCTTTGCATAATCGCCGAGCCGTGTGTCCGCGCTTGGTTGTCACGGGTATCCGCCGTGATTGTCACATTGCATTGTTCGACGGTGCCGGAGCCCCGTAAGAGGCTCTTGAGATCTGCTGTCGTTGATGCGATGTTAAGGTTCTGGATCAGGACGGCCCGCTCTGGCGGTGGAGTCGTTGGTGTCTTGGAATTGGGCTCGCTGGTCCAAGGCTTGCGGGGATGGTAGTTGTGGTAGCCATCTCCTCTTGCCTCGGGGAGAGGCTGGATTGGCGACATGGGGTACATGGGCATCATGCCCCAGCCGGGACCGTCGTACATGGAGCAATGCATCATTGGGGAGGGCGGGAAGCATTGCATTGGATCCGGCATCATGGGCATAAAGTGTTGTTGGCCGATTGGAACTGATCCCATCATTGAGCCGTAGTCCGGGTAATTGAAGGTTGGGCTAGTGGGTTGGACGGATCTAGGAAGATATTAGGGCTACTGCAGAGACTTTATAGAGTCTGTGGATACTTACTCCGGCGAGATGGGTGATGGGGGCATGGTAGTGCTGTCCTGAGATCGAGGCGGAGTTGACTGCCCAGACACGAAGCTGGTGTGGACCATAGCTGGAGGGCTTCTTGTAGGACCGGCGATGGGTTTTGTGGGAGCGCTGGTACGCGCCAACGTTACAACCAAGCTCTGGCCTTCCCACCCGTTGGTTGATAGACGATCTGAATGCCTCGTTAGCTATGCGACTAGAGAAAAGCCGACCGAGGAAGCTGGAGCACATACGATAAGTACGCCAAGCTTCATCTTCATTTTTGATGATTATTTGCCCTAATCCGGTAGGGAACCCGTGGCTATCATCATATACAACAGCCTGTCGGATATGCAAGGCAGTCTGGCGCACTAAATCCTTTAGCTCTTGCCAGCGGCAGTGGGCCGGAATCTGATATTTGGTTTAGTCATTACATCCTATTTATAAAAGCGTGAATATGACTCACTCCCTGAAGGAATACAACGAATTCATCGTCTGATCTGCGAGATTTCGGGGTTCGACCCTTTTCACGGCCGAGAAATGGCATAGTTGCGGGTGATCCTATCGCTTGGCAGAAGATAAGAGTTTTGAAGCTCTTTTCACGACTGGATGTGCAATTCTGGCCAATTCTTTTCGAATATACGAGTTTTTTTTTTGTTCGCGATGTCCGCGAGGCCGCGCCCAGTAACTATGGTCGCAAAGACAAGTTGAAAAACCGCCGAAGTTCGTCCTTGTCCGACTAGGGTTGGGTTTGGTCGAGATCACAATTGGATACAATTCCTTTGTGTGCGGGTTACCTAGTTGACGACCGTGTTAGTTGTGGGAAAACATCTATTGGCGGGCTCGAAATTGATTCTGGGGACTCGGCATAGAAACAAGCAAGGGAAAGCTGCCATCGCATATCACCCATCGTGGGAAAAAGTCCCGGAACTTCAAGGGGGAGGGCGAAATAACGAGAGAGTATAACTTACTTAGGCTTTTTCAAGTCACTAGAAGTTAAAAAATTGGCCTGATCCACACATGTGTTTTGCAGAAACAGAATCCAAGCCCTCCACGAGCCGAGCGTTCAGTCTATTATAGGAATGGGAAGAATGGGAAGAATGGGGAGGAATGGCAAATCGAGCAGGCGAAGAGATGTTTTCGAGGGACGTTCCACAAAAGCTGCTTTCATTGTGGACAAATCTTAAGGCAGGTCGAGACTAGTTGTAATTATTAGGAATCTCCCTAATAATGGCTTGAATGCAGTAGACTGAGGCGAGACCCAGAAAGCTGCAGTGGCTGACGAATGGAGAAGCGCCAAAGGACTACCAGCCAGCCAGTTAAGTCAGGGATCGCTCGACTGCTCCAATACGCAGTGCTGAGATATGTCATTTTCATCGCGACGAAGCCTGAACTCAGCTCCTCCCGTCCACTGCCAAATGCAATAAACCACTACTTCGTACCACCCAACTGGGCGATGATTCCTACCAAAAAAAGGTTCCAGTGGTGTCATCTCTGATATGATTGCTTTTTCCCTCGTGTACACTTTTCATGTCAGAATTCCAAGGAAAAAGAAAGACACCAATCTCAAGTTGGCATCGACTGGATCGCCTCGAAGTCCGGGTGTACCCGTCCCATTAATCTTCGCGGACGACGAGGGCAGGTGGGGGTGTGGTACGGAAGACGAATATCCACAAGATCTTTGAGTGCTAGGTGCAGCGCCTAAGCATGCTTCGTGTTACACCGCCAGATCCGAATCGAACATGCTCCTCAAGAGCTTGCTGATGAGGGGGGGAGGTGGGCGAGTGGATCTTCGCGAGCCCGCGAGGCGGCCCATGACCCTATATCCATCACATTGGCATTGTGGGCTGCATGATCCCTGGACTCTGCAGGACTCACAGTGGAGTAGAGCAAGACAAAGTGGATACCAGCAGCCAGATCGACTCAGTCCCAACCAGAAGAAAGCTCTCAAGAGTTAGGGAGATCGGCGATCGGCGGGTCTCTGGGAAACCCTGCAACATGAACATGAGCAATCAGACAAATGCACGAAAATCCTGACCATCGATTGGTCTTTGCTTTTGGGACGATCCGGTGATTATTGATTTTCAATGTGGGCTAATTGGGAGTAATGTATGTACCTGCAGCGGCAAGCTAGACAGGATCGTGGCTGGCTGCGAGTGCAGTTTCGGCTAGTGAGAGCACTCGAACGGTCTCCACTCGCCAACAGAGCTGTGTGGAAATCGTTACGTTGCTGGGGCACCTTGATCCACACGGATGCAGCTCATACATGTAATGGTTGTAAAAAGCAGAGTCTAAGGTGGCGGACGCTTCAAGGGCCCGGTCGCACTGCAGGAATCCATCCGGCCGGTGCCATGAGCGGTTCTGTGGGCGATCTCGGACACAAAGTTGCACAGATTAGCCCCATCAAAACTTGACAGATGAACTCTGCAGGTTCCAGCGTGGGGTATTTTCTTTGCTCGATTGATCGACTATTGGCGTGTCACCCTCGATTGATCCGAAGATCCTGCTGAAAGTGCCGGGCCTGTTAGGTTTGCGCTATGAAAGAGATCATGGCCAGGGCATGTGTGACATCCCAAAGGCTATTCTGCCTTTTGAACCAAATCAAGAATATTCGCACGCTGTGTAGGACAAGACTGGGTGCCCCGAGCCGGACCACGCGATCATTCTGCGAACTGCGATGGTACAGTCACGGTACGGGGATGGTACTGCTGAAGTACGTACCACATCTTCCATGCGGAAAAGCATTCCGTTGGAGAATACTGTTATAGTCCACGAAGGATCCTCGTTAAATTATAATTTGGAATTCTTGTCTATTCGTACTACGTATGAAGGGAAAGAGAAACAGTCATCTTCAAATAATTATTGCTCAAGCACTGGCAGATAATTGAAACCGAAGTACCATTATTCTAACTCTTATTTACATCGGTGTCATTCATAGTAGAACCGATTATCAGGGAACATTTCAAATACTGTACATGCTTACTAGTAATAGCCCGTTGGTTGCTACGACATCCACATAGTAGTAGGCAGGACTTCTGACCACGCTATTGAAGTTCTAGTACGGAGTATATTGTGACATATTGAATAGTACAGACAAAAGAAAGTTTAGAAGCCCTGGAAGATTCCAAAAAATTGAAAAAATTGTAGAGATGCAGGGTTGATGCGCGCAAGATCAATCAAGTACGCTATGTATAATGCGCCAAGGAAAACCAACAGACATGCTCGACAGCGAGTAGGGTTTGGCTCATATAGCCGAAGAGAAAGCTCCAATGTGATTTTCCCCCGCAGGATAGTCCAAATATATGAGACAATTCCAGACTCTCAGATATGATGGTCGTTAAATTTATCGATTTGAGAGTAACACTCTTCCCTCGCTGAAGGCGTGTATGTTCACACGATCATCGTGGCCTCCCGACACGTTCGTTTATCACGTGTCTTGGAGTGCCATACCACCGATAAGAATTTCAGTATGCGAAGAATGATGGCGACGTTATGACGAGGTAGCTGGCAATTGTGTTTAAGGAAATAAACCAAGGAGCCCACACAGGAGCAACATTTTACCTTCCTGTGATCGATATCGTTGTTGGTAGAAGGGGGGTGTCGATTTTCACGAAATGAAAGGGGTCGAGGGGGCCCGGGGGTGCCAAATCTAGAGACACGTATCGGATGAGAACAGAAGGGAATCTGTTTATAGTGATAGACGTAATACAGGCCCAGCCCGTAAGAGTAGAGATGGTCGGTTTGTCAAAGTATGTAAAGCTGTTGCCTTCCAGTCAATGGAATCGTGTGTTCATGGCACGAATCCGACCTTGGAGGCGCAGCGACTACAATAATAGGAGTTCATGCCAAATTGCACGGCACCAGAGCTCGACTGGCTGGCGAGACTGAGGGACTGTTGACAGCGGGAACAGCGGACGATGTCGAAGCTGAGGGGTGGAGACGCCCCGGGCGGATGGGGGACGCCACGGGGCTGCGGCGCGATTTGGACCGCGGGCGAGCTCATCCCGAGGTCTGCGGTGGAGTTTAGGGGGTTCGTTGAACGAGCTCAGAGGGAGGGGGGTGAGTGTTAGAGAGGATAAAAGAAAAAAGAAGAAGAGAGGAGAGAAATTCTTGAGGAGAAGTTAATGTTTTAAAAAAGAGGAGCAGCAGGGCAGTGAAGAATGTTTCCAACAATACCTAAGGCCCCCGTGATTACCCACGGGTGCTAGCGCGACGATAGCGCATCCCTTGTGCCCCAGTAGGTTAATCGCTTGTGGTTTCGGGTTCGGTTTTGGTTTGGACTCGCGTACACCTGAAAACCACCCGTATTTCAGATTCTTGTCTTCTTCAAACCTTACGGGTTTCCTGTTTTTGGGGATAAGAATGTCACACGCACGAGGGGTCATTGGCGTCACGACATATACATCTTACCCCCCCCGGGTCCAGTCTGACCCACGGTGACTCGAACTTGAATTTATTGACTTTCACCTTTGCTTTTGCTTTGATCTTGAATATTGGCAATTGTCGTCCCGTCTGTGATATGTAAAATACAATCGTGTTGCCTTCGTCTTTCTTTCTCAAGGTTTCTCCCGTACTCGGGTGGCCTGGGAAGGCTGTGCTAGACGTAAGAACCATTGCCGGTCTTGCCGGTCCTGCCTACTGCCTACTCCGTACTCGTACCCTGTCCAGGCCCCATCTAGACCTTCTGCAAGGTGCTGTCATTTCGAAACGCGATCTGCATGCAGCCCGAAGGAGCAAATGTTATTATCGTTGGCGTCGAGGGATAAAGTGTGGCGAAACATTGGCGGGTGGGCCGATCATATCCGACCGGGAGGGGGGGGGAAGCTGGGTAAATTCGGCACTTGTATGGGATGACTTGTTTTGAGGAGATTGTTCTATCTTCTCATTGAAGGATGAAGCCAACAATCAGAATCCTGATTCCGAATGGCTGATGTGGCTGCATGTACTTGGTATGTACTTGGTGTGATAGGGGAGTGTCTGGAGTTGTCCAAGATAAGATGAAGAGATGCCCTTGTTGCAGACGACGTCATCTCCCTCTTCCCCCTCCACCTCCCCTCTCCACCTTAATTCGCTTCAATTCAATCTGCACTTCACTCCGTTACCCCTCCATCGGCATCACATTCATCCTCGCAATCATGGCCACCGCACAACCCCAGCTTTACAGTTTCCCCAGCACGGATGCTCTCGCTAAGCAATTAAGGCCCTACATCCTGCGGGCCCAAAATGCCGCCATCGCCCGCCACGATACTTTCCGCGTCGCCGTCTCCGGCGGCTCTCTCCCCACCGTGCTGGCTCGCGCTCTGCTTGAGCCCAGCAATGGTACAACCGAGGATACCCCACAGTTCGCCAAGTGGGATATCTTCTTCGCCGATGAACGGGCCGTCCCGCTTGACCACGAAGACAGCAACTACAAGCTCCTCAAGGCTGAGCTGCTGACCAAAATCCCAGCGGAGCTCGGAGCTCCGACTGTCCACCCCATCGATGCCGACCATGTCAACGACGACGACCCTCAGGAACTGGCCGATCTCTACCAGGAGGACCTGATGCGGTCCTTCGCCGCCAAGGACAGCGTCAAGCTGCCCATCTTCGACCTCATCCTCCTGGGTTGCGGCCCCGATGGTCACACCTGCAGTCTGTTCCCTGGTCATGACCTCTTGCGCGAGAAGGACGCTTGGGTGGCTGCAGAGACCAATTCCCCCAAGCCTCCTCCTAAGCGTATTACTCTCACCCTGCCCGTCGTCACCTCCGCCCACGATATTGCCTTCGTCGCCACCGGTGCTGGGAAGAAGGATATTATGAAGGCTATATTCGACAGCGAGGAGGGCCGCAGCCTTCCGTCTGCTCTGGTGAACCAGGGTGGTGGTGACAAGGTGAGCTGGTTCACAGACCACCCCGCCATTGACGGCGTTGCTTTCCCTCGTCGTGGTAGCCTCTAAAGTTGCAACGAATCTTGGCCCGGCTTCAGTCAATCAAAACAAGCGTGCGATTTATCAACCCGACAGTTATGAAATGGTCACAGGGACGGACATGGGGAGGATCGATCATCGATAGTGTCCCCAGATGCTTAGGGTCCCCGTAGGCCTACGGGGGAAATCTCGAATCTTGACTACCAATTGGCAGTGAGATTTCTTCCCCTTGTTCTTCCCTTAGCAATTCAACAAAAGAACGGCCCAGACATCTCCAAATGTCCGGGTCGACGTGCCCACGCAGATAGAAATGGATATTCAAAATATAGAGTTTGGACCAAGTACCTCATGTACTTTGAAACGCCTTAATTAGGTTTTATTAAAGATCTCCAATTTTCAGTATTCTAGTATATGGATGAATTCCGCCTTGAAGCTTTCCCAAGTCACAAAGGAATATTTTATTAGTATGCCCAGGTGATTTCAGGAACGTAATCCCAATTAGTCTAACCAGGAGAACAGCACTTTATAAAAACTTAAAGTCTTCAGACCCTGGAGAAAAGCCGCATGGCCATGACTAGAATGATGATGATGATGGTGGTGATTATGGTGATAATATTTGCTTACCCCGGTAAGGCGCAAGCACAGAATCGAAAAACTAAGAGATAGCCAATCTCTCAAGTGGATATAGGTGATAGATACAGCGGCAAAAACTAACTCTGACCCCGAAGCGACTCGAACGCTTAACTTTCAGGACTGGAATCTGACACTCTACCAATTGAGTTACGGGGCCGAATTTTATGTAAATGTTAAAAAAATTATTGCCAGAAGAATCAGGCATCAACTTTGAAGGCAGCAACAGCAGGACCGAGCGCAGGGCGGCGACCCAGCTTCGAAGCAACAGACGCAGACAACCGTGCCTTGCCAAGCGCCGTGACATGGTTCTCGCCTACCATCAGATAGGTGCGTGTCTGCAGATTCGGCAGCTGATGGACAACAGGCTGGCTAAGCAAAGCATTGGTGAGTGGACGAGAGCCATTACGTACGCGTATTCTGAGCTCTGCCCACTGGCAGGTTATCGCCGGTGGTATATATATTGGCTGGCATGGGGGTCCAAGTATCGTACTCGAGGTATAGGTCGCTTTCAAGCGTAGAGTTGTAGAAGTAGCTGGCCGCCTCATACCACCTGGGCACCAATATTCTTTAAAGGCTGTGAAGTCCTGCACAACTTGAACCCAGTCCTATAGGCCCAATGCGTCGACAAGGAAGAGCTGAAAGGTTGTCAGAATCGGGATACATGAGACCGTGACCATAGCGAGCAGCGATCATGCCACCCATTGGATAACCTATGACAGTGGCCTGGTTGATATCTAGTGCAGTGAGAAGACTCTTTATATTCAGCGCATATTAATGCCCATTGTGGGAATAGCCCTGAGGGTTTGCTCGATCTGCAGAAGCCAACGTCATCAGGCAGGATTATCCAGTAACCAGCAGCCGATAGCTGGCGCGCCGTATCAGGCCAAGTAAACCCGAAAAGGTTTTACCGTGAAGTAGGATGGCGGTCTTATGCGTATCGGCTTTTTTTTGCTTGACGAGATGTCCACGAACGCCACCGAGAGCTTCTGGTGCTGGTTGTAGAAGTTGGAAATCCTCACTGGCCAGGGTAGGGGTTAAGTCAAAGTCAGGCCTAGGATGGGATAACTGTACTATCTTGGCATCGAACACGTGCTCTCCGTGCACAAAAATTGACTATAGGGGTTCGGTTTAATGTTTTAATCCACATGTGTTTGCAGTCATACTTTTGGCCCTCATATTAGCTTCTCTTGCGGTTCTCCCGACGGCAATGACACACTATATCTACACCGAGTAAACCAGAAAACAACAAAAATGAAATACAACACACTGGCACCTGGCAGGAATTTGCATGTGCTCACCCATCATATTAATAGCCTGTCAGTTTGTGGATCAAAAGGGCTAAATTAATTAGAATTGGAGAAATTCAGTAAGTGCCAGGGACTACCACCACCAGCAGGGTCTTTTCTACATCCTCCATACACAAAGCCAGCTGAACTGAAATTCCAACACCTCAGGCCTGCCGGACACGAACTTGGATCTTTGTCGGAACACAACACTGGTTCCTCAGCGTGACCCATCAACCAGCACCAGTCTTGACATACCCGCCATGTCCTGCCTACAGGTTTACCTGTGACATTATCGCACGTACTCCAGCAAGCAGCGCGTAGACCCCTAAGATCACACCCTGGAGAGCGCCATTCTAGTATGGCTGTATCCGCTGAGCTCTCTGGAGTAGCTGAAGTTGTGGACCCTGCTGATTTGGAGGAGGTCCTAGTAGTATCTTCTGTTATTGAAGGTGGCTCCTTTGAAGAACGGGATCTGCTGGTTTTGAAGGTGGTCGGCTCAATGTCTGATCCGCTAGACAAAGACGTTTCTTCAGACGTGTAATTCTCTTGAGAGCACATAATACCATCTCTCTTGCCGTTACTCTCAGTGCTAATTCGGTCGGATGTTGCCCTCCTAGTATTCCTCACAACTGCTTGTGATGGATCATCGCCTGATATGATTTGAATACCTGCTTGAACAAAGTTGCATTTGACTCCGGTCTTTGGATCTCTGCTTGTCTCTATCCCATTATCTGGGTCATACTGGACAAGGATCTTTCCCAAAGTCCATTTCATGTCGGTGACGGAAGATGGGTCCTTGATCTTTGGATCCGCCTTTCTCATATTCAGGTAGGTTTCGGTTCTTACATTGGCTCTTGGCAGTAGCTTTCGGACCTGCTAATCCATTGATTCAACCCGCTCTTTATAGAGAAAGCCTTCGGCAAAGGGAAGCCCGGGTGAAAATATGACAGCTTGGGTATCTGCATCGTCACGAATGAAGTAATCCACCCGGCTAGTGCCCCTGCAAAATCCCTTTTCTTCTCCCATCCCAACTCCATTAGACATAGTGTTGAGAATGTCTTTCTGGAACTGGATTGGATCATATACAACCCATTTAACTTCTTTGCCTTTACCATTTTGATCAAGAGCAATCTCCCTGTTAAATGATTGCACCTGCCAGTAATGTGACATATAGACCCCATACTTGGAGACTATGACGAGAGACGAGCAGCCATACAGATTGACCAAAGCCCAGTCCTTTTTCTGTTTCCTTAAAGGCTCCATCAAAGCTGTTGTGCCTCCCTCCCTCGGATTATGAAGACTTGCACCATGGTGAAGTAGCTTAGATGCTATGACTGCCTCTTTGAACCAACTCAGTTTTTTTTTCACGCCGGCAAGCGATAATACTCGTTTCACGAGCTTTTCAGCAGAGTAATGTATTGAGTCAATCCATGTCGACAAAGACTGCCGAGACGTGAGACCTTTAAGACCAGGGAGGCACAGCACCATTGTTGTTACATGCATCGCAATCTAGAGAACAAAGAAGTAGTTCTTGTGCGTCTGCAGTTGATGTTGAAGTGCTCGTGGATGTAGTCTCTGTAGATGCTGTAGTCGATTCATCATACTTTGTTGTCGGAGATTCATCAGACCTCGTCGTTGGGGAATCTTCGGATTTTGTCGTCGGGCCAGATTCTGTTGCCGTTTCGGTTGGATCTTGAGGCTCAGATTCAGGATCAGGAATGAGATCCGGGATTTTGGCTACATGAGGGTGTAATGGTTGTTTCCCCCGTACCACTTAGCCAGGGAGTTGACGTTTTTCGAGACTTGCTAGGCGACGTGTGTATGGTTTTTAGCTGCCGATCTTGGGTGTTTGAGGGAGGTGAAGGCCTTTTGTCACTTGTTTCACCATTTCGAAGTGGTGTCGAGGTATACGTGATGATCGGACATATCCAACGCTGGAAAAAGGTCAACAAAACATTGCCTATACGTAAGTATCCTCATCTACCGTGATGGTGTGAGAACTTCGCAGCAGCATGGAGGAAATACCAATAATAGCTGGTTACTGTTCCCTTTAATTCAAACCCAAATTTCATGGCACATGAGGATGAGGCCACAGGACATATATCTCATTTGCAAAAGAGCCTTAGTATAGTAGCTAGTAGTAGTACATACAAGCAGTACATACTAACTCGGTGATTGACCATAGCGCTGATGATAGACAATAGAAACGCCCGCTGATTGGCCCATCACACGGTGGAGACCTCCCGGCGCGGATCACCGCAGTTGTGAACCCAAACATTCAACTTGGCGGTCTTCTGGTCATTCCCCTGGGTAGATCACCGTGGGGGAACCCCCAGGAGTCGAGTTAGATACTAGCTATTCGGCCCAAATATGCCGATCCCAACACGGTCGATGTCTCTGCGCGAACCGCGTGAGCTACGCAAGCCGGTTAGCTCTCCCCCGCATAACCATCCCCCAGCATTCCAGTTGCTGAAACCTCAGTGCAATGCAGCAAACCTCTGGCATTGCACGACCTGCAGCAAAGACCACTGGCACCAGCAAGGTTCCTGCTAGACTGCCAGTTGCAAGTGACAGACCTCAACCCACCCATTCGCCGATTGAAGGAATCGCATCCTCACGCGGCCGAACACTCCTCCCACAGCGCAGCAATACCGGTCGAGATGAAAGCCATGAAAGCCAGAACGCTGGACAACCGTCATTCCAGCCACCTGAGAATAAACCCGTGCGCGAAGTCTCACCAAAGAGACCGCAAAATGTAAATGACACGAAGAAAGCGCCAGCAACGACTGCTACCGCTCCAGTGCCCACCCGTCGCCAAAGCCTAATGCGACCCGGCACATCCAGAGTCACTCCGATCTCGACCTCAAGCAGGGGCAATGTATCCAGTTCTACGAAATCTCCGCTCTCGATGGCGCCGCCATCGCCGCGCAAGCAGCCTACAACTCGAACACCTACGCAACCTGCGCCGAGACCCGCTTCCCCTAAAAAGACGACCATGCCTCCACCGCCACGACCTGTACGCTCAGCTTCTCTGAGACAACCCCCAAATAATACGAGACCTGGAGCGGGGCCACAAGTTGAAAGCAGAGGCCATGCGCGACATCGGAGCCAGATGGTGCCGGGGACCGTTAAGAAGACTCAAACCGACTCTGCAAGTACCGCTATGGCCCAGAAAGCCAAGCCACAGTTTTCAAGCTACCAGCAACATTACTCTCCCAAGAAGCAGGCGGTAAAGCCTCCGACACCTACTCCTGGCAGTCATTCGGGCTCAGCAGCAGATAGTCTGCTTATTCCAGCCTCGTGGCCGGACATTGCAGCTTTCCAAACCGAGCTTCTTCAGCTTAGTCTTTTACATTCCAACTCCCTTCAGCGACAAGCGGATTGGAAGGAAGAATCAGAAACACGGTTGCGCAAAAAATACGATGCTGTGGCAGATCAATACCGATCTACATTAGGGGATGAAAAACAGCGACAAGCTCATATCAATATGCAAGCTCTCGGATACTGGGCCCAGAACTGCCAGGGTCACCATGGCTCCAGTGACTTCTCCAAACAGATTCAGATCCTGTCGCAAATACTACAAGAGGTGTCCGACCTCGTTGCCCAAGGGGGGCATGGCCGATATACCCGAGCAGTCGAAACCTTTGAGGCCTGGTTTTATGACGCAGAGAATATTCGATCCCACAGGGAGTCGTCGGGCATCGCCGATCGCGTCGTCTTCATCAACCCATTGGATCCGACTTGGAAGGAAGAGTTGCATACCCTGAAGGCGAAACTGGATCTTTGCATGCGGCAGCTTGGAGGTCTTGATATCCAAGGTTTTACCGGGGTCGAGGGGCTAGAACGATCCGCCCTGGCGCGGGTGACACAGGCCCTGTACGAATCTACCCAGCTTATGATACAAGAGATACACGCCATGCTTACCACCGAGAGCGAAATTGTTCGCGTGGAGCGAGAGCAGGTCAGTCAGCTAGCTACTGGGCTGGCCAATGTTCATCGAGGAACGTCGCAACCACGGGCAGGACTTTGGATGTCATGATGACATGAAGACTTAGAAGAATAAAAATACTCAACGGTTTTATCGAAATAATTACAAAATATTCTAGCACATTTGGGAATTTTCCATAGATTGTAGTAGATTAAAACGGTCAGATGTAAGATAACAATATGGTCCCGGGGTGCCTGAACTCCAGATATCCCCCATACAGTCGTATCCCGGCAGCTGCCGAGGTACACCGCTTTCCGCTGGCGTGGGCAGGTCTGGATTGCGGTCGACGCTCTCAACCGGTTCTGGACGTGACGGGGTTCCCCTCTTACTTTTCAAGTTCCTTGCTTCTCTTCAACTTCTCAACTTCTCTACGGTTCATTTGTCCATCATCCCCCGTCAACCTGTGAGCTTCCCTGTCATATTCCTCTCACATTTCAACCCGTTATCTTGCTGACGTCATTCTCAGTAACATCTCCGCGCAACAAAGATCATAAGAAAGAGACGGCGAAAGAAGCTCAGCTTGCTCTCATTTCAGGCTCCCTTGCCCTCCCTTTCACCATGATCTTGAATCGCCCCTAGTGAAACTTGACTTCCTGGTGACTCTGCCGTCATATCGCCATCATGAAAGACTCACTTTACGATCGCCTCTGGCGCCGAGAATGCGGGGATTTGTCCTCATATGCTGGGCTCCGGGGTATCTACGGTGGTAAGGAATGGGTCGAAAATCTCGATATCGTGAATGAGTTGGGCGGACACACAGGATGCGTGAATGCCTTGAGGTATGCAATTCTGCTCGTCAATGCGTTGTCCATTAGTGCTAACCAGTCGCAGTTGGTCCCGATCCGGACGTCTTTTGGCCTCGGGTTCCGATGATCAGCACCTCAACATCTATTCCTACCAACCCGACTCCTCGAGTGCGCCATTCTCCCTAGACACTACAGTTCTCACTGGCCATAAGGCCAATATATTCTCCGTCAAGTTCATGCCGCACTCCAATGACCGAACCTTAATAACTTGCGCGGGCGACTCGCAAGTACGCGTTTTCGACATCGAGTATGCCAGCAAAAGCGAGAATGCCGGTGCCACATCGGCCTTTGCGGCATCTGCCCGCAGTCAGCGCTTCAACAATTTCTTTGAAGGGGCCCGGTATCTCAGCGAAGGAAACACCAATGCTAGAGTCTACCGGAGCCATTCTGATCGCGTGAAGCGCATCGTCACAGAGTCGTCGCCCCATCTCTTTCTCACTTGCTCCGAAGATGGCGAGGTCCGCCAATGGGATTTGCGACAGCCATCATCTGCTTATCCTCCACCTCGGGGTGGCCAGGGCTTCAGGGCATACCGGCCCGGACAGGAGCATGATGACTCGAACGTTCCTCCGCCGCTCATTTCCTACAAGCGATATAACCTGGACCTCAACACAATCTCCTGCTCCCCGAGTCAACCACATTACATCGCGTTAGGTGGTGCCCATATGCACAGCTTTTTGCATGATCGTCGTATGCTTGGTAGGGACATCTCTGCTGAAAAAGGCAGTCCCTATGTGTCGACTCCAA